GTAGGTGTATTTATGTTTGTCTTAAGTTGGTACAAAGACTGAACAATTAAAGGATACTAATGACACACTCTGCAATCTGATCAACAGAGATTAAATACTGGGAGCGAACATGTCTATTGTGAACACACACACACACAAAATCTGCATGCATCTTGTGTGGCAGTAAAAAGACCTGAAGCTCAGCAAAATGTTCTTTTGGCTTTCTCAAACCAGAAGTGAAACACTTTAATCCTAATGTAGAATAAGTCAGAATATAAAAACACATAAAGCTGTCAGAAAAGTAGAACTATCTTTTTCCACCTAACTATACTGCTATATATAAATCCATCAGAGGGGAACAATGAACAAAAGACAATTCAGTTTCCTTAAGGACCATAATTTTTAACTCTGCAGTAGATGTTCTAAAATTACAGATCAAAAATAGAACATTTATAGAAAAAGTTAGAAACTAAGAGAGAAATAACAGCACAGGAAATATAACAAACAAGAAAAGGTTATTTCTTCAAGAACAGAGAATCATCTGGCCTTCACATTACTTAGCGGGCAATGAATTTTAGACCAGATCCTGCTAACTGCTACATTTGCATCTCTCCCCTGTACTTACTGGCTCAAATTAACACAACAGATTGTTCTTGCTGATTCAAAATTGTGTGGCAATAAATTCAGGAAAGTGAAACAACTTTCATATTAATTATGAAATACTCAGAAAGTTCCCAAAGCTAAAATCCTGCAGAAGAATACTTTGTATCAGCCATGGTGACCTGGAGACCCTGAATTAACAGAGCTCAGCCTAGTGATCTGCTCAATTAACACTTGGCGCAAGGTTGGCATCTACTCAGTTGATGAGATCTTTATGGACAGATGCACCTATTGAAAGAATGGGAGTCACAGCTGTATCTCCAATCCACTTTTCATTAAGACTAAAATTGCAGGGTCTTGATGGCAGCGATCCATGTAGATGAACATATATTCACGTTCAAACTAGTGTAAATACACAGTTTACGTGTCAGCTTTATTTAAAAACGAAATAAATGGCAAATTAGTTCCGTTTTGGTTTGTGGGTTTGGGTTCTAAGGCATGTGCATTCTGAGACACTTGAGCACTCTCCTGGTAATCATCGCTCATTTCTCAGTCCACCATGCCTGCATTCCAGCACAGCCCAGCACTGTGCTCACAATTTCACTGCTGCACTAATTAACAGTTCTAAGAGCTCCTTCTTTCAAAAGCTGACACAACCATAGCAGAGCACCAAGAATATACTCATCATTTTACACCTCCAGTGTAATGCCAAACTTCAAGCTTAACACTAAAATCCTGAGGCTTGTACTGAATGAGTGAGTCCAAGGGCAAACACCAGCGCCTTTCTCTGGACAACTGCACTCCAGCAGCTCCAGCCCAGGCAAAGCACTGCAGAAAGAGCATGGTAAGATTTACCAGAGCTGTTCATCACCACCACACTCAAAAGTTGAGTTCAGCATGTGCTGAAGTGATACAATTACACATGGCAAGGAAGCGGAGGTCTGGATTAGTTTTACACAGCCTACAGTGACCTATCTGCTCTTGTTCTAGAGAAGATAACACTTGCCAACGCACCCCCAGATAATGTGTACAAAATACTATCAAAAATAACTCAGTTCATACTGAGTAGATAGAGCTTATATGCAAAATCATAAATGCTCAAATGTATTTGAGCACTGTTAAGCTCTCCTTAAATTTAGCTGTCAACTCAGAACTATTCGGTAGGAATGTATTTATAGAAGGGTTTCTTATGGATCAGCCAAGGTCAAATGCCATTAAGTGCTATCATCCATGTGTACATGTAGTACACATAAAAATGTCACTTCATTAAATTAGTGGGTGACACAAATGGCAGAAAAACAAGTAATAAAAATATGGTAGCTTTACCAAGTAATCTGCATGATCTAAATGCAATACAGAAAACAGGTTTTCATAACCACTGTTACATGCCCAAAAAGAGTAAGACTGTACCATAGAAAGCTGCGACAATATCAAAATTATTTATCTTAGCACAGGCAACCTAACAAGAAGCTTTCAACAAGACACAATGAGAGAATGAGCACTCAGCCAACGCCTCAATGAGGCTGCAACAACCACTTCCCTTTGTGGATGTCTTTGCTGACACCTATCATGGCACCAAGTACACAGTTCTAGCATTCCTCTTTCCATCTCTTTATCAGACCAAAGCCAGAAGAACCCACCAAGTGCTGGCTATGCATCTCATCTATGCTAATGAGAAGAAAGTCCTCCATGTTTTTTTTTTTGGTTTTTTTTTTTTTATTTAGCAGAAAAAAGGTGGTAATAACCATGCCACACATTTTGGTTGGTTGGTTGTTTCCTGGGACATTTTATTTTGCCTTCATAACTGCCTGTGAGAACAAACTAAATGCAGAGTTCTGCATCTCATAATGCCTATGAATTGAGAATGCATAGGTCTTTTTTGAAGACATGCTCTAATCAAACGCAAATAATTACACTCAACACAGGCATTAATAACTGTTAAGGCACACAAGATAGCAAAAATCCCATTAGAATATCTAACAGTCTCTCTTGAGCCCTAAAGGGGGATGGGAGGAACATAATCAATCAATGTATTTGGCTTCATAGATTCTCCTGCTGAAGAAACAGATGGATGTGGTCAGCCATCCTGTGGTCTGGAAGGTACGCCAAGAAAGTCTCTTCATTTAGAGCCACTGAATAAAACATCTCTTGATGACAGTGGAATTGCTATCTAGAGAAAGACAGCTTATTACCTCAGCTTCTCACATCTTTCAAATTTACACCATGTGTTATAGATCAACAGCTACTTTTTTGCTTTTTACGGCTTCCCAAAAATAAAGCATGAACACAAAATACAGAATAGCAGCTGTTTATGACTTTTTACACTGTAAGGAAATGAATTCCATTTTGAATTCCATTCCACATTTTTAGTTTTGGTTATGTTATTTTTGGAGGATGGAATAGTGGCATTCCAGCTAGTCTTTTTAAGATGCTTTCCCTGACTCTCAGTTCATGTTGCCGTATTTCTACTTTTAACTGAAAACACATTTCCACTTTTGATAATTTACACTGCAAGGCAGCTGTTTAGTAAACAAGAATATTTTTCAATATGAATATGCTTTCATATTAAGACTATTTAGCAGCACACCAATGCAAAATTAATGTCAAATTGCATAAAGCAACAATACCAGAGACCAAAAGAAAGTGATTTTACAGGAAATTTGTTCCAAATTTCCTACATAAGAATAATGAATAGTCTATTATTTCATACACAGATATGTAGACTGCACAAGCTAGGAAATTTGATTGATTAGCATTATATTTCACTTGCTGCTAGTTTTTTAAATAATACTTACTGACAGGGTGTAGAGAACAGTGATGACCTTTACTGTAAAAAAAAAGCATTTACAATCCAGCTAACATTCTCCCATGGTTTGTTTTCTCAATGTATTACATGAAGCAGGCTACACTGCTAGCATATAAACAAAAAAAATTCGAGTTCTAAGCAGCCCAGTCTCAATTTTTTAGCTAAGATTTCTCTTCAGAAACATATTTTAGTGTATTCAATCTATGTTCAAGGCATGGGAGGTGAGAGAATAAAAGAATCATGCATATAAAAGTATAAAAGCAGAGTGTGAAAAAGTCTACTGGGGTTAAGTATTAACCTGATGCATTTTTCAGAATGACTGTACTATTTTTAACTGCTCTTTTTTGGCCACAGGTCAAAGTTTTCCAAGCAAAATACCAAAGTGAAAATGTTGGGAGTGAAGCCCAGAGGCAGCTCTCTCTGCTTTGGCCTAGGCAAAAACTTATCTGAATCCAGTCAGATATGTATGTCTCCCACCCCCCTCCATTGACTATGGCTGTCATTATGCCTCTGAACATGTATGAGAAGAGTAACACAGCACCACAGCCTCGGGAAGAACATTTTTCAGATGTTATAGGAAATTCCTATATTCTCCACACAGCACAGGCATACATTCTGTTCAGTCAGTTCCTGTATTTTTGGCCAAACAGAACTGAGTCATTTGAAAGCACAAAAAAAACCACAGTGTAAGTGCCTTGAGCAACTGTTGGAAGGACTGGGATTTATTCCCCCTTTTTCTGCTCCTCATAACTGGGACACATTAGAAATCTTGGGGCAGACTGGAAATATAAGATTTGAAGACCCTAAAGTTCAGTTAAAATACTAATAATGATAATAATGATAACAACAGTGATAACAATAATGATAATAATCTGTTGGCTGCCTTTCTAGAGTTCAGATGGTTAAATGAGAAAATCTAACCCCTTTCACACTTCTTCACAAGGGCACAGATTTCTCACTAAAGTAAATTGTATTTCATACACTCACAGGGAAAAATGCTATTTGAAACAGGACACAGACTAACCAATTTGCCCCAATGAAAAATAAACGTAAAGGGTCAGTGGAGCCCCCATTTACATTTCTCCCTTAGGCGTGTCCCCCTTTCCTGAATTATTTCCACATCACACAGCAACCTCAGCTTCACCAGGGGCCGTTTCACAGGGGGTGAGCGATGGGTGCCCGGCAGCGCACACAAAGGCAGGTACTTTGGGGACGGACACGCTGTGATTCCCAGGCGCGAAAGCGAACGGCGTGAACGATGCTGGGAGGGAAAACAAGGCGCTTTCCTCTCCCTGGATCAGATCTCGTCAGGGACATTTCTCGCTTTCCCCCAAATAAGATGTAGCTAATTGGGGAGCGCTCGCTTTCCTCTCACAGCGCCGTGCCCGTCCCCTCGCTCAACAGTGCTGGGGGCGAGGGCCGCTCCCGCCACCTCCCCGCTGCCGGTGGCCCGGCCGGGGGCGTGGAGACGATCCCTCGTCCTCCCCCAGGAAAGCACTTTCAGGACGCGGGAGCCCTTTCCTTCCTTCCCGTTCCCTCCCGCCCGCCTGAAGCGAGGGCAGCGCTCCCTTTGTTCCCCCGCCGAGCGCTCCCCCCAGGCGCGGCCGCCCCTCACCAGCAGGCTCTCCACGTTGACCGGGGAGCGCGGGTCGCGGATCATGGACTCCAGCTTCCTCTGGCGGCCCTCGAGCATCCCCGCCGCCGGCTCCAGCGCCTCGGCCGCCAGGGGAGCCGCCGACATCTTCCCCGCCGGCTGCTGGCTCATCCTCCGGCCCGCCTAGTGCCGGGCCCGCGGAGGGCACTGCGCGGGGCCGCCCGGCGGGCCTAGCGCGGCGGCGAGCCCGGGAAGGGCGGGGGCGGCGAGGCGGGAGCGGAGGGCAGCGCCGCCGGTGGCCGCCGCCCGGGCATGAAGGGCGAGGGAAAACGGCCGCTGCTCCGCCCGGGCGCGGGGAGAGGGAGGGGAGAGAGCTGGAAGGGAGGGACGGAGCGCTTCCCGCCGTGCCCCCGCCTCTCCCCGCTCAGGGCGTCCCTTGGCGGCCGCCGCCTCACTGCCCGATCCGCCGGGACATCGCTCCGAGGGCGGGGGGAGGCGGGGAGCGAAGGGGGAGCGGCTGCCGCGGTGTCGGGCTCAGAGTGCGGCTCCCTCTGCAGCGCTCGCCGGTTGCTGGGGCGGGAGCCCCGATCCCTGCCGGCCTCGCCTTTCCCTCACCGCTCTCCGCGTTCCGCCCACCCCCGGCCCGGCCCGGCCCGGCCTCCCGCTCCCCGGCCCGCGCAGGCCGCCTCCCCTACCCACAAGGCCTCGCTACGAGCGGCGCATTGTTCGGCGCTCGCTCGGCAGCCGGCTGCAGCCGTGGGCTCGGCGGGGCCGTGCCGGGCCTGGGCAAGGCAGCCGCTCAGAGACGGCTGTGTGCGTTCTGGCGCATGAGACCTCAGCCTGCCCGCATGGCGTCAAGCACACAGCGAAAAATATTTGAGAAGGTGGGAGAGCAGTGTTTCCGATAGAGCACCAGTGCTCACGGCATGAATCAGAGATTCGTGGAATGGTTTTGGTTGGAAAGGCCCTTAAATATATTGTCGAATTCCAAGCCCCCTGCCATGGGCAGTGGCGCCTTTCACTCGGCCTGGTTGCTCAGGGCTCCGTCCAGCCTGGCCCTACCACATCAGGGATGGTGCATCTACAATTTCCCTGGGGAATGTATTCCAGTGCCTCACCACCCTCATGGGAATTTTCCCCCATACCTAATCTAAGCCTACACTCCTTGAATTGAAACCATTCCCCCTTTTTTTGTTGTTACGTGGTCTTGTCAACAGTCTTGCCCTGTCTTTTCTATAAATTCTCTTCAGATGTTGAAAGGCCACAATAAGGTCACCCCAAAGCCTTCTCTTTTCCAGGCTGAACAGTCCAAATTCTCTCATAGGAGAGGTACTCCATCCCTCTCATGTGTGTATATCCTACATGTATGAGAGAGACGATGAAGAACTAGGCAGAGAGGAGCTATGCTGGGGAAGGTGCAGGCCACCCTCATGCCCCCCGAGGAAGATGAACCTCCACACTGTGCTGGAGATGGGTACAGCCACCTTGCCATGCTTGGTGGGCACTTTGAGAGGACAGGATGCTGTTTATCAGACCCAGGCAAGAGAGGCTACAGCAGGGAGGGTGTCACTGATGCCTGAGCTGTGGCCTCAGGGATGGACGTAGGGAATTGGATGGTAGGGATGCTCCATGGAATGGCATGTGAGGTTGTGGACAAACTGTGGTTTCAGCAGCCCTGAGATGTGGCTGCTGGGCAGATGTTCTAGGGCAGAACAACAGAGACTGTGGAAGTGTCATTCACTAAGGTGGAGGGACCTCAGGGAGGAAAGGTTAACATTTTACTGTGTTGACTTTCAGCTGATAGCTGGCTGGCAGTGAGCTGATGTCAGAAAAGTGGCTCAATATTTTAACTTTAAAGGAAGAGGAGAGAGCGTCAGAGAAGTAAATATGTGAGTCACTTGAATGGCTTTGAGCGAGATCACACTCAGTGATATTCTGAGTCAGAGCCCTGGTGCTAAACAACTCCCAGCTTGAGGGAAGGTCTGCTCTGAATATCCACCCAAACTCTATAACTGTATTCTGCTTTTACAGTCCACTGAGTCAAAATCCTCAAGCCTCACAGAAACACGCACACACAAGAACATTTTGAAAAGTCAATATGGGCGTTATCACTCTCGCTTTACAGTGAACCACATTGAGTTTGTGAATTTTCTGAAGGAAATGGTGAAATCTGTTTGGGAGAGGTGCTGGTTATTTATATCTTAGGACTACTTCATCTTCAAACCAGATTAGGATCTGCTTAACTGCAGCACCACCAAAAAAAATCACAGTCTCCTTGAACAGTTTACTTTGCTAGGATATAAAAGAAGTGTGAGAATGAGTTGGGTTGCTACTAGGATTATATGTGGGTACTAACTGGATCATGAAGTTACACAGCCTTGCAAAACAGCAGTTCAAAACTCCAAATTACCTAAAATAAACATGATTTCTTCACTTACAGCCTATTCATTGGATAATTTTTATAAGTGGCACAACAAAAATGTTTTGGCTTTTTAAAAGGATTTAAAATAGGATTGGACAACAGACCAAACATAATGAGTGTGTCTCTAGTGATCAATAAGGAGCTTGTGCTAAGTTCTGTTACTGTGAACAACAATTTTGGGGGTGATTTCAATGAACTCAGAGTTGGGCACCAGGTGATCTGATGATCTAAGCTCTTAGTTTCCTCTTGGCAAGGTGCTTCTTTTTTCTTCAGTTTTTCTTATCTATAAGCTTTGTAAAAACTGATCTTTAGCTTATGTGATTTAATGGCATTGTTCAGGGTCCTATCTAAACAAAGGTAACAAATAAAATCTTAAATAAGCATAACAACCCTTTTTACATAGGAAAAAAAGTGTGATTGTGACTTCAAAAGCAAGTGTGTAGAAATAGTACCTTCTTGAAATTCTTGCCCAATAGATCTATTCTTCCACCCTTCAGGACATATCTGTTCACTAGCTAAACAAGTTTTGCTTTGTTACAGGGACACATTGACAACGGTAGTCAGCTGAATTCCTTTGTACAACACAAATCCTCAACAAAATCATCAGCAGAAGATTTATTGCTGGTTATAAATGACTAAGTAACAAAAATAGTACTCAGAAAGTCAGCTCCTTCTCTCAGTGTTTGCAAAAAACACTGTTTTAACATGCCCTAGAGGAAAAATAACACCACCTTCTGTGGTCTTTTTACAGTTCTACCTTTTCTGCCTTCAGTGGTGTAAATCTCTCAGGTTATCACCTATTCCTACAATGACCATCTAAGGAAGAACTCTTCCTACTCACTCTGTGTATGCTAGTTTTGAAGTTCCATGCAGTGAATTGTCAAATGCTATTTAGTGTGTTTTGTAAGGCAAAGTCCAAGCCTTCCAGTGTGTCTGCTGTAGCTTTAAGCCTGGGACTCCACAGCTGGATCCTTCATCTCTCTGTCTGCTCCCTGAAATGCTGCTGAACTCTTTAGATATCTACAGTACAAATATGTTTTAGGTGTCCCAAGGCAGTAGGGAATTCACTGTTGACCATTTTCATAACTGGCTACATTTATAGGTACAGATTTATAAGAAGTTGGTATGTGGGGCTTATTGGTTAAAAGCCATCAGCTTCAGGTTGTTCCTTTAGTGTCTTCCATAGTCCCCAAGTCCATTCAGGGAGAAGAGGGATTTGGCTTTGGACCTCAGGCATGCTTTCACTACTATTGCAAAAGAGGCAAAAGGAGACAAACTACCCATGTGTGCACCTGTTTTAAGAGAAAGGACTGTGCTTTTTGCACTTGCTGCTGGCTAAGTAAGGCTTTTGCAAATCCTCTTTTCAGGCTCCCTCAGAAAACATTTGAAGAACATAAGAGCACTACCAACAGGGGAGTTGATTCTCCTAATAGCTAAGTTCTCTAAATTTTAGGTTTAGCATCTCGTGGATCTAGTCCATCTTTGTGTTTTGCATATGGGAGAACAGATAGAAGAGCTAAGTGAGTTGCCAGAGATATCATGGACTGTCTCTATCCAGTGACATGAATCAACTCTATCCCAAATGAGAAACAAATTGTGACAACAGAGCAAGGACAAAACACCTGTCAGTCGTCCAAGTAAATGCAGTCTTTGAAAGCTGCCAAAAGTAAACCATGTCAGACTGCTACAGGCAAAGGTGCATAACTATCGTCACTCGCTCAGGATGCTGCTGACGTGGATCAGTGTTGTTGTGATGGAAATAGGACAAATCATTTTTTAAATAATGAGGTCTTGAGACTTCGGTAGGCATAGCTAAAGATCATCATTCTTCTGCCAGAAAATAATGTAGATTTATGTCATTAGTACAGGGGTTTCTTTACTTTTATATTCATAAATACAAACAAGGGGTGAAAAGGAATATAAGCTTATTGTGAGTTTTGTTTGTTTGTTTGAATTTTCCGTTCTCACATGCTAGTGTTCAGTCAGCCTAAGGGTTAATAAATTGTTTTTTCTGGATTAAAAATAAACTTCTTCATTTTAGGTTAATGAAAACAGACAGGAAGACAGGTACACAACTTGTATATATGGGAGTTATGTTTTTGAAGGACTTGCAAAGTCAGCCACAATCTTCATCGTTGATATACTGATTCCAGTGTTGTCTTGGGACAAATAGTACAATTATGTAAAGTCCACAGAAAAAAAAACCCCAACATTGTTTACCATTCTTTCATTTAATTCATCTCTTGCATTGTAACGAGAGGCTTTAAATGCAAGCAGCTTTTCAAACCCCATGCATTTCCAAACCAGCCTCATAAGACTGCCACTACCACATCAATTACTAGCACAGGCCAGCTATAAAATTACAAAACCACTCAGCCATCTGTATAATTAAATGCAAACCAAAGTAATGAAGCAAATGCTAAAGAAAATGTCTTCATCTGGTAAGCTTTGTAGGTAAAGGCCTATATCTACTGTTCTGCTTGGAAAAGCATGTATGTACCTTTGTCTCTGAAGGTGTGCCAGGTAGCTGCTTCCCATTTTTTCAAACAGTATATATAGCTGATAAATACAGAATTATTAGTTGGCACTGTCTGTTGTTGTGTTAAAGTCAGTATCTTAAGCACAAATACCAGAGAATCAAGAAAAGAGGTGTGAATCAAAAGTGGCTGTGTAATGCCTGGGTGTGTCTGATAACGCAGGACTTGGTCTCTGCCTGGCTCTTAATTGCTTACATAATTCTCTCCAGCTAAATAACATTGCTTTTGTTAATAAGGTAGTTTCATTGTTTCTTGGATGCATTGGGAAGACAGACGTGAAGCTGTGAATCTAGGTTAATTGAAATGCTTACGTGATGGTGATGTGCCAGATTCTCTGCTTTAAGTCTCAGGAGGAAACTTGCAGTAAGTGTAGCTTGGAGAGTAAGGACAAAGTGACCTCGAGTTTTCCTTTGCTGCTTTGTGCATTTAGGTGAAGCTTAGGGCTCTGTGGCCCATAGGTGTAAATCACAGCAGCTTGAGACTGCTGTGATTTATGAAATCCTTGCTGTTATGCTGTCAGTAGTCTGTTTATACCTCACAGTACCTTGGAGCAGGGGACAGTTCCTGCCACTCTTCTTTCTGCTGTGAGCATAATCTCCAGCACTTCCTTTACGTGACACATCGTAAAGCTTGAAATATTGGAAATATGCAGGAGTACAATGCTGCTGTTCGTTTGGAAGTCCTGGCCAGAGCTTCTCAAA